ATTACACTGGTGAATATTTTATACATTAAACATTCCATACGCTAAATTTTCCACAACTACTGTAAAGTTAACTATACCATTGTGTCAAGATTCTGTTACGCTGCTGTTTTCGCGGACATCCTATTTTTCTTACAAATATTCACTACGCACATAACACGATAAATGCACTAAATAACAAGAAAATTGCACTACATAATCATGTAAATTCACTACATAACAAAGTAAATGCACTATATAATATGATAAAGACACTGCATGATAAGGTAAATGACCACATACGACAGATAAACGCGCCAAATATAATGAATGAACCACATATGATAAATGCACTACATAACAAAGTAAATGCACCATATAACGTGTTAAATGCACTACATAACATGGTAAATACACACAATAACAAGGTAAGTACACTACATAACAAGGTAAATGCACCACATAATATGGTAAATGCACTACATAACATTGTAAATGCACCATATAATATAGTAAATGCACTACATAACAAAGTTAATGCACTACTTAACAAGGTAAATGCACCACATATGGTAAATGCGCCACATAACATAGTAAATGCACAACATAACAAGGTAAATGCACCACATAACATGATATGTGCACAACATATTATGGTAAATGCACTACATAATATGATAAATACACTGCATAAGGTACAATCACCATACACAATTATAAATGCACTACACAATCATGTAAATGTGAGTGAGTTTGGTACAGCCATTGTAACCTTCTGTCATGCAATAGGTCAAGAACACCAATTGAAGACAACATAGAGGATCAGTTTCCCGGTTCACACAACCAAGCCAGAATTAAAAGATTGTTTTGTAATGACTGGATACTATATCAAATTTCGTATATTTTTTTCTGATGTTGTATCACCCCTTACTGATTTGTTCCGTGGGAATGTCAAATGTTTAAATAGAGCAACGAATGTGATGAGACCTTTGTGAATATTAAATCCATTTTTCTAAACACACCAGTTTATGTGGCTTCACGATTTGATAAGCAATTTAAGCTGAATGTGGAAGCAAGTGATATAGGGGCTTTGGAAGTATTGTTGCAATCAGATCTATTATGAAATGACCATCCCGTCTGTTATTTCTAAAAGAAGTTTGACAAACATCAGAGAAGTTACTCAACTATTAAGAATGAAACGTCCTCTCTAATATACGCATATCAGTACGTTGAGATATATCTTGGTTGTTACTGTACATATAAACCATAATTCGTGTACATTCATCCATAAGAAATATAAGAACCAGATGTTAGTAAGGTGGAGTTTGTACTTTATATCAGACATATTAGTGGAAAAAATAATGTGATTGCAGATAGTTTGTTACAAGGTTTTGCATGAAAAGTTTGCTACTGATTAGGTATGTGGATTGCCTGTAGTTAAGTTATGTTAACGTTTTTAAATTTTTTACTTCGAATAATGTAATTTTATTTTGAAACGAAAACTTTCACAAGATTTTCTTCTTGTAGGGTGGAGGTGTTATATATTAGCTTGAATTGAGAATTGGGTGTCATGGCCCTAAATATAACCTAATGTCACATACTAATTAGAATATTCTAGAAGATGACGTTGAAAACATGGTCTGTGTAATTCCAAGTAAATAAACCGCAGACCTACTGCCGGATTTTGAAGTCAACACCACTTGAACAGAGACACTAACCGGGTCAGTTGACTCGTGGAACTCTGGGTGACCCTATTTAAAAGAAGGTACACCTTGGCTAGCGGTTAATACGCTCCGCCTCCATTTCAACGCATGCTGCTTTGCGCCTACATTACTACTGTTCAAAAACATCTTAAATACTATACTGCACAACCGGACACTTATAACCACCTATATCTGGCCAGGTATTTAAACTACTACTACTACTTCCTGTTTATTGGTGACCCATTTCGCTCATGATTGGTTGATCGGTGTATGACGTAATTTGACAAGTCTCGACAGGAATGTCACCGGGCAATTTCCACGTAATGCCGCATGAGGGCGTTACATGCTGTAACAGTCTCTCGGGGCCCCTCGGCCCACTCTTGACATGCTTTTGGCATTTCGTTAAATGCCTACGGCGTTTAAAAATAAGCGACTCTATTAGGCACGAGAACTGTCGACAGTCTAATTTTCACCTTAATCTTTATATTGCTGTTGTTGAAACTATTGTAATTTGTATGCACTAGTTGACGTGTCAGTTAGTTGTGTTTTCCATAGAGCACAATTCATAAAACTGAATAACATACCTTTGCTGGTTATTTGCGTCTCCTAGTAATTGCAATGCCATGGGAACCTGAGTGTAATTGCAACCCCGGGAATCCGCTCTAAACATCATACATTTGTTTTTGTTATTTTAATAACTGTTGATTTTTTCCTCGTTTAACCCAGACTTATTCAACACGAATTTAGCAAACACGTCATGTCTGCCAATTTATGAATTGTCGGACCCAAATCTGTTTTTCATCTAAACCACTTAAAACACATGGCTTGCTAAAGTAGTATTTTTAAATGTCCCAGTTCATACGCCGCTTCCTACACAAACGTTTGAACATTGACCTAAAGATGCCGTTTACACGGTCAAGTTATTATGGGTGGTATGGCATGGCATTTAGCTGTATAATGGGCAGAGCTCAGCTAACCTCCTACATTATATCGCCAACCGATTTTCGACCTTGGTCAGTTAGAACCTCCACTGCCAACAAAGACATATATAATGGTACCTACTGGTAATTATCGTTTTGATTGGCCCCTACCGATTCTGCCACTGTTTTATCTGGACAATCATTTGTTAATTTAAGATTTTAAATTTATTCAATTATTTAAATGTACCTGTATATGACTTAATATTATTTATTTTGTTCATTTTTTATAAGGGTAATGGACTAGACTAGTTCTATGGAACTATTTTCATGATCCTCACTATAAACAATTTATATACATATCTAAAATTCAAATTATAAACTTATTTACTCATCTGTTTATATATCACGTTTATTTGAATATTATTATATGTATATATGTTTATAGTGAAATAAACTTCATTCACTCATTCATTTAAAGCTCGGATCCTCGGGTTGTAATTTACAAACAATTCAGGGGTCACCACAAGATTATGGGTTTTGAATTCTAGTACCAACAACGGTTATGTTCGCTCTTTTAACTTAACATCGTGTACATCCTTCAGTATTTCCAGCTCGCACGGTTGACCATTAGCTTTGCTAACTATCACTGGCCACTTGTCCCTCGAGCTTGCTACCCGTGGTATGTACTTGCACCTGTAAGTGGCAGGTGGATGGAGGATAGTGAAATCATGAATTAGTATATGCAATTCTGCTTCCTATGGTTACTTATCTCCGACAATATCGCCTTTCCCAGCAAACGTGGACTTCACAACTCACCAACATAGAAACGCAATTTGTCACGGGTTCATAAAAACGTGCACTATACACACCACAGCAAAGTCCGTATCGATACGAGGAGAAGAGATAACATACGATACTCTTCATATGCACTGTTTCCGAATGCAGAATGAGAAAAACAAGTTGCGATTTTATGTGACATTTGACCATGTAAAATCCAAGATGACTCCCATGATAGCCGTGTGACCTATTCATACCCATTTACCTGCCCAAGACTTGATATAATAACAATTAAATTGTCAAATAAGTGTTACAATCAAATATTTCATAAATTCACATTTCAGATTGAATAACAAAATGATAATGCACATGTACAGAATATGAAACTATATAAAACTGAACAAGGTATGTATTTTCCCTATTATCTCTCATCAATCCAAACAGTGGGCGTCAATCTCAAGTAGTTCCAAAAGCAGTCAACAGGTGTGACACCGAATATACGTGAGGTAAATAGTATAATAAATCAAAGTAAACATGCACTATGTGTGTTACACGTACGGCACAAAAATCGCCCTGCTACATGTCACGCCACGTCACGTCACGTCACGTCTTCGGCTCGGTCATCACGCATCCTCCCAACGGAAGTTCGAAAACCGAAGTCCATCCACGCCAAAGCGCGTCACACAGTGTAGCCATACGTTGGGTCAAAGGGCTACAGACCCGACTATACAGATAGTGAAAGTAACACTACAGCATTAACAACAGTAATGTATTCAGACAAAATTGTTAAATCGTGGTAGCTGCTAATGTAGGATATAAATATTTTGGTGAAAATTCAAATACTAAATCAACCAGTACAAGTTGGATTCAAATGTGTTTTATTTTTAAATGTTGTCATTTAAAACATTATGGTGTTTTTGTTTTTGTTTTTTTACACAATATAAAAACACCATTGTGTATATTTTACATTCATTTGATATATATAACAAATTACATACATTGTTTAGGGAAGAAACCCAAGCGAATGTGTATTAACAATTTCAAATTTTTTTGTTGAATGTCCAGAAATAAAGGGCATTTTATTTGCTTAATTGCCCTAGTTGTGACAGAATAACCATACATGATATTTAAATGGTTGTAACCTTATTTTGTTATCTATACGTACTTATTTTCAGCTTTGGTTTGTTTGTTTGTTTGTTTGTTTGTTTGTTGGCAAGATAATTCTAATTCTCATAAAATTACTAAGAGTTGCCCTTGATAAATCACAAACGCATTTTGGTACAGATACAAACACGGCTACCATGGAAACAACCATTTTGGGAATGAATCTTTATTCATAACTCAAAAAATTAATTTATACATTTTCATACAATTGTTCAGCTCTTAATATGAATTAATTAGATTTCAACAGAGATTAGGATACTGTTGCCATGAAAACAATTTTGGGAATTATTTTTCATTAATAAGTCAAAGAGTGGGTTTTCATGAGATTGCTAATTAGGTTTGTCCTTGATACAAGTATAACCCATTAATATAATATTATAACAAATACCTTTTATGTATTTATCGCCTAGCTAATTACAATACTAATAATATGATGTAACATAAGTATTTCATAGATTGGAAAATAATTGTCTATAATCTATTCTTCCCCCCTCGAGATCTCTCCGAGAAAGGTTTCGCGAAGTTAAGACAATAAAAGCCAACATACAATATTTATGTGCTGATTGTTCTACTCTATTGTGTGTTGATTGTTCTGCCCGTTAGTACTGTCAGTCATCGAAATGAGATGGCACTGCATGCGCCACGCTTCCAGCATGGTTTTTCATGGTACATACAGATCCTTACACAGTTGCCTCCAGCACAGTTTGATCTTTCTTTTCCCCATCATCAACTGATAGTTTTGCATATGCCCTAAAGAGTCAATACATAATTGGAAATAATGTTATGTAAGTATAGTGTGTAAAGTATTTGAGTGTAAGATATGTGTTACATTACTGAAGCGATTTCATTCATGAAAAAGTTTTTGATACAAGATATGGGTATATCACTTCATTTAATAGTTTTGTTTGTCCAGTCTTATTTCCAATCACACGGACTAGTATAACAAATTGTGGAATTAACTTAATATCTCTATGAATAAATACTCACGTTCCAAATAATTCGCCTTCCTCTAGCGTCTCTGGTAGTTTCTGATTACGTGTTTCCGGTAACAGTAATGTCACTAATCCAGCCAAAATTGATGTCGCGCCAAATATAATAATTGGTAATGGTTCCCATAGTGTTTTGATTAATATCATCTGTGGTGCTAGAATACCACCAATGCGAGCACACATGGACGAGAGACCCAATCCTATGGTTCTGCGTAAAAAGAGAAGTTAAGTCTCGTTTTTTGAAAATCAAAAGCATTCAGTTAACATTGACGTAATAATAATTTAACTGAAATTACTCAAAAACATATTTCAAACGCTGCAAATTAACATATATGTCAATGAAAAATAATGAACAAATTGTGAGATTGCTTAAAAAACTCAGTACGTAGTGTTATGAGTTATCTACACAATTTAGTTAATATTAACCATGACATGACATGGCATGAAATCGATGAAGTTCCCATCAAATAGGTCAGTTATTTCATGTCTGGCTACACATGTTACAGGTTAGCACCAAGAGCATATATTAAGGTGGAGATGCAGGTTTGTGGGCACATGGGAGTGAAATTTTTTTTTGCTTTTTATTACCCAAACAGTCTTGGCTATAGAGTGTTAAAATTGTGTAGAATTGTGAATAGTGGAACATACTCAAAAGACAATTTTAAAATATACATAATAGGTGCAAACATTCTCTCTTTTGAATGCTTAGCAAGATTTAGCTGTACATAAATAATAATAAAGAAACATGGTGAAAAAAAAGAAAATACCGTGCCTTCGGAAATTAAGCGATCGATTAAAAAGTGGGAAGTTGGACGAAATGAGTATTGTAGTTCAAGTGACGTAATTTAGTTTTAACTCGTACAATATTTATTCACTCACTGTTTACTATAGCTAGAACGCTGTACGTGTCTTCACTTACAGGTTAGTTCTTTTGCCGATTTCTCGCAACCAACAACGTAATTTGTATGTTGGATTTCGAGAAACTTAACATGAATAGTAATGGAATTCATACGCAGAACACCTCGCCATGTTTCAACTTTTAAATTTTCAGTTAACAGGGTCTTTCATAGTAGCATTTCAATGGGATTGACGTCTAGAATGAATGGGTTCAATTATCAGTGTTCACTGTGACATCATCGACTGGCCCTCTAGAGGCGAAATGACGCCAGGCAAAGCGGATGTTTGTCTACTTCAAAGCCCGTTTTATACCCGATATTTAGGGCATGTCGCAGCACATACACGTTGTTTTTCTCGACAGAATGCATTCATAGATCTGAAATTGTATGTACAGAGTGCCAGACATCTGCTCCTCTTTAAGGCAGGTTTCATATGTAAATATATAAGCAAATTCTGATAGAGATAAATATTATTAGAATGCACTATTGATTATAATTAGTTGAATACCACACACGTATTAGTAGCACCACGTATTCCTAATATGAACAATGGTTGTACTGTGAATAGGTTGCAGGACTGTACTGCCTAATAAGGACATTGTGGACATGGCAAATATAGTCTATGTTAAGCCAATTCTGATTTGAAAGTCACTTACACCAATATCTCTATGATTACACTGGTGTTAAGATAATTATTAATGAATGTGAACGTCACGTGTCAAGAATCTCTACATTCTACTATGTGAACTCACTGATATAGCATTAGCCAGCACCTTTAATGTATCATTTCCTGTGATGGTGTGTTATACTCTAAGCGACATAAACTTGCAATGTTATGAAAAAATTCAATATTCTCAAGATACTTTGAGTTTAAATAATATCTTTCAACCATAAACTGCTCACTAAATGTTACAAACATTGTTCATAATTATATTCATTTTAAATGTTTAGGCCACATTATCAATACATAACTGTTATTGCCTAAACAAGTTCTTGAACAGTCATATATGCTAACAGCACTTCCAGTTCTTATGCTTTTGCTAATAGCTTCAAGCTATCATTAATAATCTCACCTTACAGGAGTTGGGTAGATTTCAGCAGAAAAAATATAGACAATGGCAAACGCGGCGGAAACAGAGAATTTTCCGATCATGGCCAAAGTAATACCAATCCATTGCATTTTGCCTGAAAAAAAGATGAAAACATATTTGCACGACTATATGGTATTCAGTTTCTTGGATATAAACCAAAATAGATCTGATATATCTCATTGACTTGGATGATGATATTGTGCAGGTAATCGTAGTATGTTTAGGACATTTCACTATACGGGATATTATGATGTTGAATATGTATTGTTTTCACCGGAGAACAAGATCGATAATATGAATTCGAACATCGGAATTATTTAGTGTGAAAGATTTACAAACACTTACAAACTGGAGCTAACAACGTAAGTATACATGCCACTCCCGCTAATATCAATGTTGATGACTGGGACCATCGACGACCAAAGCGAGTTTCAGGAAGAAATATTGATAGCGTATAAGCTGGTATTTCCACTGCTCCTGACAGGAAAGCATTCAAGTAGTCGTTGCCACCGAGATTGGACGTATTAAGTGAAAGCCCATAGTACACTAAGCTGATAGTAAACCTGTTCAAATGAAAAGACATATCCATGGTTAATGATCACACTGATTGCTTTTTACTAACAAAATCACTTATTTTTTTATGTTTTTTTTGTTCTTACCAGTTGTAGAAGAGATTCAGAGATTTCATTCTCATGTTCGGTAGGCGAAGAAGGTCAAGAAAACTTCCAGAATTTTGCTGTAGGTGGAAATCAAATTCGTTGTGTGTATTCTGTCTGTTACGTACATGTAAATTTGCCATGCATAAAGCTACTTTCATTGAAAGTCTCACAAATAATATATATTCAACCATTGAATGCGATAATTTTGGTTAATCGAAAATGCAGCCACACATATGAACATTCAAACACAAAACACAAAAATTTAATTCGAATTTAGCAAATCCGCTTCGCCACTGGATGCGGGCGCTCCACGTTTATGTCACAAACATGCAGAATATAATAATACATGTTAAGCATAATAATGGTCAATCTCATTTGAGGACAAATATGTGGTAGCAATCGAAATTACATGTACACATATGCACATCTCAATATTTGTTTGCAAAGCTATCGTCAAAAATGGCAGGCTAATAACAAAATAGCTTTACTATTCAAAATGGATTTATAAAACAAATCAATTCCATAAGCAACTGCATATACAGCGAAAAAATCTGGTACAATTATCACATTTGTAATATGTGTTTTCAAATGCCATCGATTGATTGTCGTTCCACGTGAGGCACATATCAGTTTGTCTGTTAAAGACAGTAATAATTGCGATGTAATGTACCTTTAGGTCCCCGGTATACTCATTTAACTCTTCATACACGCTGTTCGGAACAGTAACTCTATTAACTTCAGCACACTCTCTAATGATTGCCGCTGCCTTTTCAGTTTTTCCCACTGAAATCAGCCATCTTGGTGATTCCGGAATAAGCCTTACAATGTTGAGATGTGAAATGTAGTTATACTCCTATTTCATTGTAATATCTCATATATATATATATATATATATATATATATATAAATATATATATATATACTATTTGCATGAAATTAGACGCCCATTTCACGATGGGTACTCAGTAAGGTTGTATGTTAAATTACAATCATCGATGTGTAATTCCTTATCATCAATCACAGAAAAATGCCGACAATTGTGCTTGACAATCTTAATCTTGAAAAATATCTCAATTGAATGCATCATCTTTCTAGGCGTATTTAAGTGGTTGCTAACGTCGAATATACATTGCAGTAAATATTGAAAGATTCCTTCATTTACCCAATTATCAACTTTGTCAGACATGTTTCCTTCAAAAAATTCACTTACCACCAGTATATTAAGAAAATCGATGCCGGTAATGACAAACACAACTGCAGTATCCACCAGTATCTGATGAAGTAAGCCAAAAATGCTAATAGCATATATCCAAAACTGAAGTAAAATTCTATTACAGCTCCAGCGAACACTCGCTTTGAGGGTCCAACAAGTTCGGTTGCTACAGTATCAAGATATTGAAAATAAAATAAGTTGTTAATTATATAGTAATCAACTGTAAAATATAATTAAAAGAACAAAAGATATAAGGTTATTTAAAAGTACCAAGTAACATGTTTTTACCTAAAACGAAGGTCACCATAAACATTCCCATCTGCGAAGCACCTACGAACAACCTGAATATGGAATAGGCTTGGATATTTGGTGAGAAGGCACAGGCTGTCCCCGAAATCGTCATGCACAATGCGGTTACCATCAACGCTGGTAAACGCCCGATTCTGAAATATATGTTGGGGATGGAGATTACGTCATAAGTCATGGATACAATGTAATCCTAAATCGATTGCATTGTCATTTCAAAATGTAAAATAGATGAAGTAGTAATTTGAAGTTGCTTATTCAATAAGAACGCACGTATTGAATATATTGAATATTCACTGACCTATCAGAAAGACCACCGAATCCTACCGATCCAATAAACAAACCGGCCATGTGTGCTGAAGAAGATAGTGCTCCTAAGTAATAGCGACCACACACTAAATCAAACTGCAATAAACCATACATTTCCCATATAAATAGTGCATAAACACACACACCTAAGAAAACAGAGAACTTTGCGGAATTGCGGATGGACGTGGACAATCAGTAAAAAAATTGGATAATTTAAAGTTTAAATAATAATATCAATCTGATATATGCTGTTATCATCTATTGCTTTTATACGTACCTCCTGAAATATCGATGATTTGTATTGTGATCGGTCATATATCCATCCATGATCACATTCTATAGTATCATTGGTGTATGTCATGTTTTCATAGCGTTCACAATTACTGTAAACCAAACCATCACCACACTGATCGGAGCTCTCCTCCAATGGTATACTAAGGTTCTTCATCATATCTTGGCAAAAGGGTACTGAATTGTTCAAACTGCATTTAACTTCATTAAACTCCGGAACATGGCACCAATGATCTGTCTCAGCGGCTAAGAACACTTGTGCGAATGCATGGCACGCTGGCAGGATGGCCATGAGACAAAGTAGATAGTAACAGCATTTCTGATATGTTCCAAATTCACCAAGATATACAAGTATATCGTCAAACTTCCTACATTTATGCGTGGTTCCTCTAATCTTCGTCATATTGGCAGTTTCTTTTATACTTCCAGAATCTACATGAAGCTTAAATATTTAAGAAAAAAAAATATTCTGAACTGCGCATGTTCTTCTGTTTTCTGGTCTTTAGAGACATCACGTAACTACGCGATGTACATAGAAACATTAATACTATAAGGTTTTTACGAGAATACCTCAAAGTATGCACGAAGACAGTGCAGCTGGAGTATCGACCGAAGCACAGCGGAGGTAGATGCGCGGCATACTGTCTGAGTGCATACTTTGAGGTATTCTCGTAATAAACTTATTATTTATACATCTTCTCCTTCCAAGGATACATCATGGGAATGCCGAAATTCAGAATATTTAGAACAGAATCAGCGAACTTCTTTGTGTGGAGTCCGGTCAAACTCTGGTGGCAACCATGTTTGTTTTTGTATTATTAGAGGACGCTTACGCGCGTAATAATTCCATAATTGGAATTCGCGTTTCCTAATATGGTAGGATGAAAATAACCCGTAAATACTACAAAATCACGGCACGCTGTAACTTATGGCGTTACGGTGACAGATGTATAATAATAATATTTATGAATAATACTAAACATTGTATACGTCATTGAATACTCCGTTCAACCCGATAAAAATAGAATTTAGACATTAGACCCCCTCCTTAATCACCTCTCCATTTCGACCAGAGGGATTCAATTCAAAATGTATCGCTATTCATTCGGTGCATAAATTTATAGAAACGTGGTTGTTTTTCTTGTTCATCAGTTTACTGAGTTTTTGTGTCCACACTTTTCGTAACTGAAAAGCTACTTGTAGTGCGCCTTTGTCGGAGTGTGGATGTTTTGGCCCGAGTCTGTGTTTCATGGAATGTCGTCCGGGGCTTTAACTGTCTTTAATCTATAAACCTGCAGAGCTGGTGTGTTGGAAATAAACAATTGCCAGGCCCAACTGGGAATACTTCAAAGCCCATGGATTTATCACAACGAAACTACGAGTCGTCTATCATCCCGGTGACCAATACCTACTTTCCTTGTCTTTTCCTTGATTTTACACTTGGGGTAGGAAGCAAAGAAGTTATCCGCATACATTGCCCAACCCGTTGTGAATCAATTCAAATGACTTCTTCGTTAAAAACTCCCAGCGCATGTTTTACCTTTACTTCACTGTCTGGGCCAACAACGTATAATCAACGTAATTTTAAAAAATAGTATACGAAATGCCATTATGATGACAGGTGATTTATATTTGTCTTGATCTAATAAAACGGTAATACATTATTTTTTTTATATATTGATTGTACTAAACGTAATGAAATGTGGACAGTATCATCTAAGCTAGTATGCTGTGAATACATTTTATACAGCGTGCTTTTAATTTTTGACAATTAGATTTAAATTAAATTAGAAAAATTAGAATTCGTACATTTATATATATATATATATATATGCTCAATACAAAGTACCTCACTCATCAGGAGTGTCATAGTTCATTTCTTTTGTTTAATGTGGAGTGGTGAGGTCTAAAATTTATCATAAATTTTTCCTTCAAACTTAAAATGCATCGTTTGCTGGAGCGGGCTACCGCGAACAAGAATTTTCCATGTTATTCTATGCTCTATATTGCCCCCCCCCCCCCCCAGGTGAGGTCGCGCCTATGTCGCAAACACTCGCGGCTTCGGCGCGAGGGATGGTGAGGGATCTCACCCACCGTGGCCATGCAAAACCCGGGCCGCCGTCTCTGTTTAAGAGTTTGAGTAGGCGCACCCCACTGCAACTGTCCTCACTCATGCTCGTAGGTCCCACATAGTACCACCGTAATGCTCTAGTCTGAATTACAGTGACGTCCTTTGGATAAGTGGTCGTAACTGTTGAATCGTACTAATATAAAGCGTGTTTGAAAGTTCACTACAAGAAAACGCAATGAGACCAAAAAACCAGCGTGTAGACGAAAGCACATTGTCGAACAAACGAACAAAAACAAATTTCTTGCACAAACTGATTGAAGTTATTTTTTGTTGTATATACGCGGATTTAATCGTTATTTCTGGTTACGTATACATCGACATAACTAACATACATGAACTCACTGGAGCTAAATGGTGTGCTCTGCAAACACACATGGGAACTAGGACAACTCCACTAATTCAGTGTGAAGTCAAACATGAATACACTCGCTCAGACATTGCTTCAAAAGGTCGCCATGAGGTCCACAATTTAATCGTTGTGATCAAATATTTAGTATTCTATGTATTCTATTGATACTCGGTGACCCATTGAGTAGCTGGTACTTATTTACGAGAGGCTTTTATCTCCGCGGCGATTCGCTCCTTGTTAACACGCCAAAAAGACACAAATAACATACGCGGGACACATCTATTACGTAACCTTAAAACTGAACGCCTCGCCAACTATTCAAAACACGTCAGTTTGGGTTCATTGAACTTAGTTCAATTTCGTGTTATTTTTTCTGACGACTACTGTGGTATAGGATTTTTATTTATCACCACAACCAAGTTTAATAAACATGATTGAGATTCCAGAACTGTCTCTCACGTCACGTCGTCATTTTAACAAGGTAAATTACTGTGCACATCATGTTAGCACACCACGTGATCATTGTGAGCGTCTCACTTTCCCCTATACCCTTAACTGTGCCCCGCAAAGTCTTTTTTTTTAAATATTTGTTGTACCAGGCGATAGTTCTGGACATTGAGTGTCACTGTTGTCTCTCCTGACATTTTTTTTGTATGTGCAAATTGCAAGTGCTAGTGCTGACACATAGTGCATTTTGCCACAAGTCATATTCATGTTTGGGACTACATGGCAGGGCTGTGTGGCCATCTCTCTGTCAAATGGCATTTTTTTAATGCGCTATCCTGGCGTCAACCAGGCTCGGTCGAACACAAGCACCTGTGGACCCTAACCAAGGTTCCCCCAAAGTCGCATTCGTTAGTGAATGAAACTCGGCCAGTGGAATTGGCCTTCCCATTGAGTCTGTGGCACACTCACCCAGGGTAGGGGTCGAACCTTTGATGTTCAGCCTAAGGTAGAATTTGAACTTTGGTCCACCGATCATAAAAAGTCTTTGATTCTATGGAAATTTCAAAATACAACTCTTTCTGACAGTCATATTGTGCTTGGTTATTGGCATGGCGCACCGTACTGAAATTGTGGCCCAAGAATAATTCAGAATTCAGAATCACAATTATAATGTCTGTCTATGTTAAGCGACTATAGCTGCTTGCTCGTATTTTCGAACGCCTTCTGCAAGCAATTGTAAAAGCCACAGAAAGCGGCGTGCAGGCTAGAGCACATGGTCAAATAAGCAAAGTAATTCAAATGCGAAAGTGTTCGTCGATTTTGGAAAGGTGAAATCCCACCCAACCGATGAATAACAAACTTATTGACACAGACATGGTGGTACTAGGTAATCTTCCAAGTCAAGTATGCAATCTACGTAACAACAAAGTATAAAAATAGTATGTAATGCTCACCGGTTTTGCTATGACCCAAATTTCCGTACCTGCACAATTGAGATACACGTGTTGGAGTGAATGTTTTTTTTTATGACAGTTGAACTCTGACAAGACTAAACCACAGAAAGTTGGGGGGTGGCCGGCTGCGTTAGCTGACTATATAGCATATATTTATAATTAAATTAGGTCAAACGCGCACGTATTGAAGTCGTGGCCGCAATGGCGGTGTCGATACAAGCACAACACGCCACACTAGACCGTGAACTCGTTTCTCTCTATCATTCCGTTACAATAGAGCGATTTCACCTTTTGTTTTTTTTATACAACAACTACCATCAAAATATTTGCTTCGCGTGTCGCGAACGTCTATTCGGGGAATGCAATTAGTTAAGTTCGATATGCAATGGATATATAAATAAGTGCAACATATATCAATGGACCTTTAAATACATGTGCTGATTTTCAAACCGCAGGTCACTTGTACACTATTTTACTATAAATAAAGCTTAGGGGAGAATTGTATTAAAATATTATCAGTTATGAACTAAAAATAATCATACATGATAACATACTCTGTCATGGTGTCATTTAGAGTTGTGAACAAACGTAATAATTTCATAATTACGATCAATTATATTTGCTTTTTTAAAATGTATACTTTTTTAACATCTTATAAATAACACGTCAACTGTGGTCTAATACATAAAATATATGTATTCAGAAGTGTGTGTCGGTTAAAGTTAGTAGTAGTAGAAAGTCATAAATCAGTAGCTTTAAATATACGGGCCAGGCACCTGTGTGCACAGAAGCAGTTTAAACTTGGTAATTTGAGATTAATGACAACAAATAAATATTCATTGATAAGTCACTTACGGTTTGGTTTCCCTTGGGCTTTTGCAAACGACGCGTTCACTCGCTTCTACAGATATTGTACGCCCCAGGCGGGTGAAAATACCGACACTGTATAGCAGTATAACACAGAAATAAACGACAGTCAACGCCCTAGCCTCTGACTATGGTTGGTAAACGTACAGTGACCATTAAGGTGTTTCACAGTGAAGGTTCAGAGTTCGAGGTTTTCTAGGTATCTAATTTTAACTAATTCAAAAGACCGTCGGGCCATTCATACAACACAGACATTTTCCGTTCACTTGATGTTCCAGATCAACAATCAATTACAAAAGAATTATCCTGTTATAGAAATTAGCATGTGTTTACAGCAATGTCCCAGGTCACTACTACATTGTAGTACAGTACATTGAGCTATACTGAAGTCTGTGTGAACTGCAATATTTTTCATTATATTATAGCATTATCAATACTAGTGAATTTTATGACGTCATTGCTGCAGATCATTCGCAATAATGCATTCCATTATTGAGCATCAAGCAATGAGCAACCATGGATATGAATACAATGTTGTTTTGGAAACAAATAAAGAGAGATGGTATAGAAAATAGTAGCATTCACGCATAGCTCAAAAACATTAGCCCGTGCTAAGAAAACTTGAAAACCTACAGAACGGCCGCTCCACAACTGGTCTGATCACTGCCTATTAAGATCCGAATACTCGGGGTCTCCCTACTAGAAAACTTTTATAAACATAAACATAAGCCATGTTCCGCAAGGTGCGAGATCACGCGTGACCACGATTCACGCACTATTAACAACCAGTTGAGTCACGTGGTAAAGTTCAAGCTTTTAAATATGGTGGCAACTACATTGCCCTGCTGCGTGTTGTAAACCTCATCACAGAACAATATCTGTGATACTTGTATCAACAATAGGGATTAAACGGTGCGCTTACGGTGAATGTAGGAGTGATTATCGCAGTCGGCACAAATATCATATGAATGGGGTTTATTTTACGATTCTCTAAGGCAAAAACACAGTCTGAAAAGTGCGATCGAAGGATCAGTGCCTGCTCTCGAGCAGACAATTTCGTTCGACACCGAATCACCCAGGACACGTACCAAATGTTAGCTATTCATTTTGTCATGAATGGGTCATAGTTTAAACGCATTGTCATCTCAAGGACTTTTTCAGATTGAATCATCCATAACAATCGTACCTATTCAGAAGGTTACCGTAGCAAAGTACATTGAACAATGGCAAATTACAATTATAGTGTTTTCAATAGGAATTGTACGCACGTGTAGCAGGACAGCGACAGTGTATACGTAAATACAAAAAGCCTGGTTATAAACAGGTGAAAAGGATAGTTTATTTATTCTCACTGTTACATAACAGTAAATGGCAAGAGTTTATTAACAAGGGACTGCTACTTTTCCCCCTCTGTCCTCGTTTTTAAGAAAATGGCATATAATCATACGAGGATATTTATAGTTGTAAATTGCCGAAAATATACAGGTTTTCGATCTCGTGCAGTAATATGCAGGTTTACTAGATCGCCCGTCGCTCGTTACGCTGATAAAATACATTGTCATCAAATAAAACAAATGCGACTGCAAGTCTTGAAGCGTTGGTATGAACAACAAATTATGCAGAGAAATCAAAATAAACTAAGATAGACCTGGGGATAAATTTCTTTTTTAAGGTTTTAAGCTGTCGTTTATTCTTGGCAATGGCAATGGATCGTTATTTATGAATTTATTTATCATTTTAGTCGACACGTTTGTTTCTATGATTTTCTGGGAGAGAAGATCCGTGATTTGCTTTTAAATAAATTTACATTTTTCCTTCATCTACTTAGTATGTGGTGAGTCTAACAGGTGGGAATTGATGGTCCACGCAAATGTCGCGTTTAATCATGTCGCAGTAATCTAGTATGCAACTGCTCAATACAAAAGCATCTGTGTTGTGACAAATACATCCATGCAGTTGTTTCTTCTGCATGTCAGTGCATGCATGCATCACGAATGGAGTGCCGTTAAATTTTACTAGACGGATGGGGACGGTATTGTTGTCGGCTTTAAAAGGTCTCCGTGCATTAATAAATCCTAATGTGTGGTCATGCATTGAGTATCTATTGGGATGTCTGCCCAAAATAATTAATTCGAACGAACGCGGGGGATATGGCAAAAAAGTTGCAGGCTTTACTGTTAGCCTGACAAGGTCGCGTGAGTTGCGCTCTCCGTGGAGCTCCAAACCCAGCAAAGTGAGATCTGATGTCGTTCGTCCGGGGAGGGCCTACTCACGCCTGCATGTCAGGCTGGCTTTACTATCCGATATACTGATCTTGATAAACAATATTTTTTAAAGATTAAAATTCTATATAGCTCCATGTGATTTCAAACATTCTGTTTCCAAATTTGAACCGCTGTAACTTGGCTAAACAATGTTTAATAGCCCACTTTCGAGATAAACGGCCGCTGGTGGCGCCATCCTATCACGTGACCAAACATTTTCTCACGGTGGGGCCATATTGAAGTCAGCCGAGCCTGTGTATGTATTTACGTTATGGCCTCGTCAATATATCAAACGCTAAAGGTATCATTTAATCGGAAAACAGAACGAGACAACGCAACATGCAATGACACCACCAGTTCAAAACGTCACCCTAGTCTGTGACAGTAAATATTGAACAGTAAATCGTCGAAACAGAAAAAACATCGTCACCAGTGTTAATATAAAACAATATAAAGGTTAAAGATGACAACTTGAAGAAATAAATACTCACTTAAAATAATAATGAATGATTACTCATTTAGCCCAACCTTCCGCATTTACCGCTTTTTAATTGACCGCTTATCGCTTACTTTCCGACCGGAAACCGACCGCATTTTAATCCCATTTTTTTTTTTTTTTTTTTTTGCTCGCAAATGTTGAAAAACTCGTGAATTTTATGGAATCGAATAAAATAAAGCTAGCGATTGCTAAGAATGATTATTAATATATTCCCCAATGGTCTTCGAATTTTTATTTTGTTTATTTCAAGGTAAGAAATACCTAGTTTAAGTTGCATCAACTTCAAGGCGGCTGTTTCACCGAAACAACTCCGAGTCTAGCTCTGTCCTAAACTCAGTCTGGAGAACCCAACGGGGATCGATATTCCAAACAAATTATTGGGACACGGTCGACAGACATTCCAAACAATCGAAATTATTAATGAAAGAAGAGATTTTTCTAGATATCTACAAACATACTGTCATGAAAAACATATGCAAAATTAACAAATACGCAAAGAGGTTTAATATTAGGAAAGAAAACCCAGACAACGTAAATGTGTTGAAATGCATTTTGTGTTTCACGTCAGAATATTGTTGAAATAAAATATTCAATCCCAGCCAAATCGAGGTCAAAGGGTCAGTTTGCGTGCATATAATTATAGATTGTTAAAACAAAAAGTATTTGAACTTTTGTCCGCTATTCAACATCTATGAAAACCAGAAAGACAATTATACGACAATGTGAACCTCAGAAATGTTTTGTTAGTCCGAATTTTAAAATGCGAGCGAGCGAGCGGCGGTGATATTTCCGGGTTTGCGCGGTCGAAAATAAAGCGGAAATTGTCCGGTGGAATTCACCAAGCGGTCGCAAAAGCGAGCGAAAAAAAAGGTTGGGCGAAATGAGTACTGTACGTTGGATACG